CATCAAGCTTTATTGGCCTGAGGCATCGTTGTGCATGTTGCGCGCGCGAGCCTGTGTCCAGTTAAGCAGAGGGAGGCGCTAGGTAACCCAGCCGCTCCCACAGCCGAGGAGGCTCCTCGGTCTCGCCGCGCGACGCCAGCTGAACGAGGTGCCGGGAGGAAAGTAAACTTTGAGCCCTGAAACTTTTTCTGAAAGAATTCTGTGCCACAGAGGACTGCGGGGCTCTGGGCGATGGCCAGTGCACTGATGAGGGCTCCTCCAGAAAGCCCCGGGATGAATCAGCTCATCATCCGATGACATTTAATCAAGGGCCGGGAATCTACTCAATGACCGACCGGCTGTCACGCTGGGGTGCTGGTCTGGCTTCCCGCCTGGCTCTTCAGTCTCAAGTAGCAATTATCTCAGCTGGGGACCCTTCGCCCCCGGGGAGCTTCGGCAAGAATAGCTGTTTCTAAGTGGAAAGTTCACCTTTCGGGCCATCACTTCTTCGGCAGCGTGTTTGTTCATCCTCCCACGTCTCCCTGGGCCGGCTGGCGGGACGGGCTGGCGGAGGCCGGCGACTCCGCTAGTGAGGAGAGATAGCGAAACTCTCCCAAAGAGCTGCCAGAGCTAAAGTTTGGCCTCCTGACTGTTCCCTCCCGTCGCTCTGAAACGCAGCCTTGTCTAACTGCCACCGGCGCTGCTTCCTTCTGGACTAAGCAGAAGCAGAAACCGAGCCCGAGTCAAGAGCGTTTTGCCGCGTCCCAGAGATGAGTTTCGGCCTCAGTAGTTCCCTTCGGCCCGCGACGCCCCGTCTCTCATCCCGCTTGGGAGTCTCAGGACCCAGCCGGTCGCTTTACCCGAGTCCACGGCCAGTGACTTGATTCCTTTGAGTCCATTTCAGAGGGGAGCCCGACTCAGGACAGGCCTCGGGGGCTGCCCTGTGAGCGGGGCAGGAGCACTGCCAGGCTCCATGCCAACCAGGCCGGGGCTCCCCAACACCGCGCTTGGGGCTGCAGCTGCCAGAGCCGTGGGGGTGTCAGGCTCTCTCGCCTGCCCGCACGCGTGGGCCTCTCTGCGCGCACCTGCGGCGGGCACCACACCTGGGCCTGTGACACGTGGGCCTGTGACCCTGGGCGCAGAGCACGGGCCGGGCGTCTGTGGGGGCAGCTGTGCCAGGGTGAGGGTGCGGGGCACCACCCGGGGCAGACAAGAGGCAGCCAGAGAGAGGCTGAGGGAGACGGCAGGGTCTGTCCGGCTCAGCATTAAAGGTGTAGGATTCCACAGCAGGGGGCCCCACATTACCCTTTTGTCTGGGAGCCCCAACAATGAACCTTCCTGGCCTGGGGTGGCTGCAAAACAGTGAGTCACAGGGGAAAGGCGGCGTGAGGCCAGCAGGAGAGCCAGGCCCTGGAGTGGGCGGGGCGGGGCCTGCGGGGCGGGGCAGGCGAGATGGCCAGGGCCCTGGACAGGGTGGGGCGGGGCGGCGCGGCAGGCCTGGCCCCTCTGGCAGCGGCCGTGGGGGAGTGAGGAGGGCTGTGGGCGCCGCGGTGAGGTCATCTACTTCACCTTATAAAAAAGCCCCCGTTTCCGCGTGGAAGGCTCGGCAGGAGCAAGCGGAGAGCGGCCAGCGCCGCCCCAGGCTCGGTGTCCAGACGTCCAGCTGCGGGGCACGGCGCGTTCCCAGCGCGCGTGCGCCCCGGGCGGGGGTGTCCCCCACGCCGCCCACCCCTGACCGCCTCTGGGGGAGTCCTGTGGGAAGACACGGCTGGGCACCCCGCCCGCCGGAGGGGCGTCTCCTCCATGGGGCCCCGGGGCGGGGTGAGGGCCCCTCGAGGCCACCGCTGGGGTGACGCCGCCCCAAGCCCGCGGGCAGCTCATCAGAGAACCCATTTCTGCGCCAAGAGGAGAAACGTAATATTCGCAGCTACAGCACTTTTCAGGGAACTCATTAGAACCTCAATTTTAAAAGCTGCGCAACTGAAAGCAAGTTAAATTCTAACTTGTGTGTTTGCTGCTGTTAATAATGCCAAGAAGTGGCCTCGGGTGACCCTGGCTGCACAGGAGGCATCTCGGAGATGGCCTCCATTTGACCTTGACGGCGGGCATGTGACTGGTGAAGTGGGGGGCTTCCAGCCTGGGGGTGCAGCAGCAGGGGTGTGGCAGTCCCAGCGCAGCCACTCTGAGCTGGACCCGTGGCTGCGAGTCCTCGCCCCAGCTCCGGGCTGCCCGGCTCCCCTCCACCCGGCCCGGGTGGTGGAGAACTGGGGTTCCACGTGCCTCTGTGGGAAGCATTTCAGGGCTCCCCTTAATGTCAACAAGAGGTGCCATTTTTGAATGGGGACCCTTGGCCTCACAGGTGCCTGTCTCTGCAGGAGAAGCCGTGGTCCGTGGGGAGCCGGTTCCCGGGAGCAGAGGCCGGAGCGCAGCAGGCCGGGGCGCTGCCGGTCTCCTGCGGTTGGTGTTAACCGTGGCCCGGCCTCCAGGAGGGGAAGGCGCAGACCAGGCAGGGCTGGGAGCGCCCAAGGGAGCCCGCCCTCTGCCGGAGCAGGCCGCGTGTCCGTGTGCGGCGCACGGCATGGGTGACATGGTGTTTACACGGGGCCACGCGCTTCAAGGCGGCTGTTTGCGTCACTGTTCCCAAGTGAAGCCCCTGGGGCAGCGGAGCCGGACACTTGGGCGAGCCATCCCCGCGCTGTCCCCCGAGCCCACTCCCAGGGAGACCAGTTTTGTCCTTTCTGAACGGCTGGCGGCGGCTTGGTGTCACCCGCGCAGGCTGATCTGAGAGCAGCCCGAGGCAGTTTGCCTGACAAAGGCCCCACGGTCAGCGGGGGCGGGTGGGGCGCCTGGACTCTCTGCTCGGCCTGGCTCGTCCTCCCATCCTCTCCGTCCTCCCCACTCACCGCCGCCGACTCCACTGCTCCCCTGGGGGCGGGGCAGGCCCCGGCGCCTCGTGGTGGTTTGGAGCATGTCCTCTGGGTCCCTGGAGGACGGGGCCCCCGGTTCTGCAGAGACGCAGGCAGGCCGGGCCTGGCTCCCCGATCGGGGTCTCTGCCGAGTGGCCCTGGCTCGCGCCTCTCTCCACACCGCGGGCTTCCTGGCCTGAGACGCACCTCACAGGGCACTCGGGGGCGTGGGGAGGGGCCGCGGGTGCCCGTGTCCGAAGGTCAATGTCCGTAACACCGCAGCCGTGTTGGACCCCCCTGGGCGAGGTCCCGTGGGGGCCGCGGGTAGAATGTTGGCCTTGGGCAGCGCCTCACGGCCGGGCCTGGCCCTGAACTATGCCTGGTTTTGCTGCTTGTTCCAGACATAGGGTGGGGCTGGGTGTGAGCCCTGCCTCCCGTGCGGTGAGGATGCCCGCCGAGGACACCCGCCCGGGGGTGGACAGGTGGACGTGGCAGCTGCTGGCCTGCGCAGGGGTGGCCGCTGCCCCTGGCGCCCCAACAGCAGGGAGCCCTGAGCTTTCCCAGGGCATGGGAGACGGTGCTGCTGAGCCCGGGGTCAGGGGCAGCACCCCAGGCCTGTCTGTGTCAATCTGGAGACCCAGACGTGTCTTCTCGCCACGAGTGATGGCTTCGGGGTGACGTGGTTGCCGCGGGCCTAGCAGCCGAGGGGTGCTCGGGTTCGACATATTGATTACGTGAATAGGGCTTTTAAAATAGTTTTGCTTTATTGGGCTTGTCTTTCCCTGAGGGTCATGCTTTTATTCCCATAAAATGTTTTATTTAGGTATCAATTTTGATAAATGTGATGACAAGGTGCGTTCCTGGAAGAGCTTTCTGGTGGCGGACGATTCACGGTGCACGGCTAGCGTGACCGGCTCTCGACATCTCGGGAAAAAGATTCATTTTTTAATATGTCCAAGGATGTCACGTAGGTTCACAGCACTGTATGTGATTTCGGGGGTCGGGTCACCTCTCCTTGGATGGAGGGCACCTCCACACCCACCGCCTGGACCCCCGCAACAGTCCAGTGAGCCCCTCCCCTTCCCGACCCTCCCCTTCCGGGAGCCTCGATTCTGCAGCAGATTTCGAGGGTTGGGCTTGGCCTGCCTGTCTCCTCATTCCCTTTAGCATCGTCCCCCGTTTATCCATGTTGAAATGGCAAGAGCTTGTCCTTTTCACAGCGGGGTAGTATTGCTCTGTGTAAATGCATGCCACCCTCTTAACCCCCTGCCCTGCGCTTGGGCACTTAGGCTGTTGCTGCGACGCAGCTGCTGTCGGGGGGGAGGGGGGCGCTGCAGGGACAGGGAGTGAGGTGCTCGCACATCCGTGCTTTGATGGGCTGAGCAGCTGCGGACCCCGTGCTACAGCTCTTTGGAATCTCTTGAGAAACCGCCCTGCAGGCTGGGCCAATCCCCCGTGGTGCCCGGGGCTCCTGGCCCGCCACACCTTCCCCAACCCTTGTCTCTGGTCTCGTGGGAGACCAGAGTGGGAGGTGAGGCCCCGGCTTTGCTGTGCGTTCCCTGGGCGCTACGTGAGGATGAGCCTTTCCCCACGAGCCTTGGGCACCTGCGTGTTCTCTGTGGAGACGAGCCCATTGGGCTGCCCTGCCCATTCTCTGTGTTCTTGTTGAGTTGTAGGTTGTAGGCTTTGACATTTGGTTTATTTTTAACGTAGAGTATGTCTGTTAAGTTGAATCACATGTGTCACAAATGTCATCTGGCCGACCTCGGACGTCCTAAGGCCTTAGGAGCAAGCCTGTGCCTCCCAGGCCTCTGATCTGCCCCAGCCCAGCTCCTGCATCCTCCTGGGCCTCTTCGCTCCCGTCAGGGAACGTCAGACTTCTGGGGCCCCTGCCTGCACCTTTGCCTCCTCGGGGTCTTTGTGCATCTGTCCCTGAGTGGCCAGCCTGGCCCACACTGTCCTCAGCCCCACGAAGCTCCCGCAGCTGAGGGCTTCCTGCCCCCGGGCAGCAGCCGGCTCCTGGGCCCTCCCCCCTGAGGGGCCTTGCCGGGGCTGGCTCGCCCGCCCCACAGGCCCTCTGAGCTGGGTGCTGGCAGGAGCTGATGCCCGCAGCACTCAGGGCTGCACAGCCAGGAGGGGTCGGGCGGCTGGAGCCGCACCCGGTCTGCATGTCAGCGAGTGACCCCGCACCTTCAAGGTGGGCAAGGAAGTGCTGCCCGGGTGCAGCGTAGAGGCTCACGGTCGTGGGGGTGCGGGGCCACGCCGCCCCGTTCCTGGGCGTTTGGGTATCTTTGCCGAACCCCCGCCCGGTCACCTCGAGGAAACTGGAAGCGCCCGAGCCATCCCCGGGGCCGCGTGCTGCTCTTCGTGAGGGTCGCTGAGCCCTGGTGGGAACCACTCCTGGAGTTCACGCGCTTGAGAAGCAGCTTCCCTTTCTGTCGGTTTGCGCCATTAGCCTCAGGTTTGTGTTCCAGTAAATTCCACATTAACGCTTCCTCCTAGAGCAGAACAAAACGGGGCAGCCCGTGGGCCAGGGACCGTCTCCGGGGCAGCGGCCCAGCCCGCAGCACCCGCAGGTGCCCTGCCCACGTGCAGTGTGGCCCTGGGCCGTGCCGCTGGCGGGGGCGGGGAGGGGTGCTCAGAAAAGCCCACTTAGGCTGGGGGCGCCAGGGTGAGCCCAGGGCAGAGCCGACCAAGTCTGCGCAGGCCCCTTCCTGCCCTCTGCGGGGCCCACCCTGGGCGCTCACACCAGCCCCCGGAGGCCTGTTCGGGGTGGGGGGTAGACACCTGCCTCCTGAGCAGGTCGCTGGGCGTCCGCGCCGTGGGGTTTGGGCTTTTGTAAGTGTTGGTTTTTAAAACAAAACCAGCGAGTTCACGCGCAGGCTGTACCATTCGGGCAGTGCCTGTGAAGACCTACTGCGCGCCAGTAGATGAAACAGGCAGAGGCCTGCGGTCTGCACGGAGCCCCTGCGGCCGACCTCCACGCCCCCACTCCACGCAGGCCCCAGCCCAAGCGGGCAGCGGGCTCTGCTGGGCTCAGGGCCGCTGGGAAAGGTCAGAGTGGAGGCCCTGGCCGGGGGGTGACTGCCCGGCCCTGAGCCCTTTGGGGAGCCCCCCCCCCGCCCTGGAGGGAGAGCAGAGCCCCTGGCTTCTTTAGTCCCTCCGTGTGTGGTCACAGCCGGGGACGGTGCTGGCAGAGCAGGGTCTCGGCGCAAAGGGGGTGAGGGCAGGTGCCAGAGCGGGCATCAGCTGCGGGACAGTGAGGCGTCCCCCTGCTTTCCAGGACCTTCTCCTCCCGTGCCTCCCTCTCGCGTCCAGCGCCGGCAGCCTCGTGTGTCGTCGGGAACGAAATCCCGGCGGAGGCCAAGGCCTCACCGCCCACCCTGAGTGAGCGGGGCCCGTGGTCTTCCTGCGACGTGCTGGCTCCACACCAGACGTCCGGGGCCAGCGGGTGGGAGGGCAGCTCCATGGCCGCCCGGGCTGCCGCCGTGGTTCCTGCTGTGGGGGTCAGGGGCGCCTCCACGGACAGCAGGCCCTGCCACTGCTCCGTTGGGGACTGTCCTTGTCCAGGTCAGGGTGGACCCGGGACACCCCCAGGCACCGTGGTCAGGGCAGGTGCTGAGGCCCCGCCGATGGCAAGTGCCACTAAGAGCCCCTTAGCGCCGGCGGCTCCCTACCTGCGGACGCTCGTGTCCGGAGAGCCAGCCTGGCCGCAGAGACCACGCAGAAAGTTCTCTGTACGAGGAGCTGGGGGGGTGTCCCTGGGGGAGTTAGGAGGGGGTGATCTGGGAACTGGGGGATGATCTGGGTGGGGGGAGCTGGGAGGGGCAGCTGGAGGGTGGACAGCTGGGAGCAGGAGAGTGTGGAGAGGAAGAGCTGGGCGGGGACAGTTGGGAGGGGGAGATGGGGGAGAGCTGGGGTCAGCTGGGTGGGGACAGTTGGGAGGGGAGAGCTGGGAGGGAGTGCGGGGGTCGGGGAGAACCTGGAGGGTGAGGCTTCGCTTGGCCCTTTCCGACTCACCTGTCTCCTGGACTATTTGTAGTGCAGCGAGGTTCGCCGGGCAGTGTCCCTGACCCTGTGTTGGGTCCAGGCGATGCCCCCACACCAGCCCCACGGCGCCCCTCTGCCGAGCAGCCTGACGCTCCCAATGCCCGCCATGGACGACGCAGCTGCAGACCGCCTCTGCCCGTCCGGCTCGCCGCGTGTGGCCGGCGTCCTCACCCCATGGATGCCACCTGGTGCCATCGAAGCACATGGAGCAGCCTGGGACCTCGAAAACGCTCTGCACGGCGGCCGCAGACGTGAGTTGTCGGGTCGACGTTTGGAACCTGAAGGGCGATGGAGCCCTCAGGTCGCCCCAAGTCAACACCTGCGTGGAGAAGCAGCCGTGAGGACACGACTGTGCACAGCGCCGTGGCCGAGCATGGGGCGGCTGGTGTCCCGCCCCGGTGCAGGACAGCGCCCCGGGCCGCGACCCTGGAGACCAGCCGGCGGGTAAAGGAGCCGCGGGCTCTCACGGCGCTGGGCAGCCTGTTGTGGAGCGCAGGGGATGCTCAGTTGGGCTCATTTTTTATAAACGTTCCCAGCAGGCAGAGCCAGAGGGACGGGGTGGGTGGTGGCCGCCAAGGGCCGGGCGGGGGTGGAGGGGGTTGGCTGCTGTTGGGCAGAAGTTTGTTTTGGGGGTGATGGGAGTATCCGGCATGAGACAGTGGTGTGAGATGCCCGACTCTGAATAAACTAAAATTCACCTAATGGTTCGTTTTCAAGGGGTCAACTCTGGCTCAAAAAACATAAAAGTCAGAAACAGACATGACAGTTCCAGTGGGGGGTGGGGGCCTCGTGCGAGGGCCTGCCCACGGCGGCCGCCCCCCCAGAAGTGGACGCTTCTCCCCTGCAAGGCCACCATGGGGTACGCCACTGGCATGTGCAGCCGTCCCCAGGCAGAGGCGGTCGGGCGGGACGCCCCTCTGCACCCCTGCTATGGCAAAGTGGGGTGCATGGCATGGGGCGACTTGGGCACTGCCTTCACGGGGCTTCACTTGGCGCACCCGGGCCTGTGCACACCCCAAGCCCAGGGGAGGCCACTGAGCTCCAGACGACCCGGCCGGGGCCGCACCCCGCATCTCCCTGGGTTGACTTAGGCGGTGCTGACGCCGCGTCCACACATGTGCCCCGCGCTGGCCACAGGACACGCGGCGCCTGGGGGACCGGTCAAACGCCGTGGCGCTCAGTTTACCTGACGTTCTCCGAAGGGGAGCGCAGCTCCGGGGTGCGGAGGCCGGGACAGCCGCTGGACAGGAACCAGGTCCGGGATCGGCTCCGGGGGTAGGTCTTTCTGCAAACGAAGGTCTGGGTTTGAAATGCACCCTGAGCGGGCTCTGGGCAGGGGTGAAGCTGCCCCCCCTCCCCCGGGGGCTCGGGGTCGTCCAGCCGCTCTGCCCTCCGGGATGGCGCGTCCACGCCTTTCTTCCCCCACTCAGCCCGGCCCAGGGCGGCCTGTCCGCTCTTTCCCCAGCTCACCTGAGCTCATGGCCCTCGTCTGGGGAGCCGCCTGGCAGCCCCAGCCTCTCCTTCTTCTACTCCCACACCCCCCAACTCCTCCAGGGGGTCGGGGCACTCACAGAGTCCCTGACTTTGCTCAGCCGCCTGCCTGGACTCCCTGCTGAGCTCTGGCCTCGGGGTGGGGGGGGGTGGTGACTCTGAAACCTGCCTCTTTGCCTTTAAATTGTGCCTCGCCCGCCTAGAAGCCCCCCCTCTCCAGACTGACTCGCTTCCCCAGTTCCTTCCCTCATGCTGTCCCTCTCAAAGCGCCATATGGGACAAAATAACACACAGTCTTGCCACAGAAATAGCGCGGTTGCCGGACGGCCCGAGTCAGGGAACAGCCTGAGGGCAGCGCCCGCCTGGTCCCCGCTGGGGAGACCCTCCCCCCGCCCCTTGGGGTGCCGAGGGGGGCGCTCAGTCTGGCTCCTTCCTGGGCTCCCCTGACTGGAGGGTCCCGGGCGCTGCCCCCCAGGCCGCGGTGGGGTCTCCGCACTGCGCTCGCCCTGGGCACAGCCGCCGGCACCTGCGCATCCTGCGGGCACCTGTGGCTGTGATGAAGGGCAGAGACAACCCGAGGTACCCGTCGGGCCTCTGGGTTCCTCGAGGACAAGGTCAGCAGGTCCACAGGGCTCCCGATGGCCCGGCTGGCCCGGCCGGCAGTGACTGTGGCGCCAGTGGGAGATGCGGGGCTTTGGGGGGGTGGTCGCGAGTCAGCTCCTGGAGGCGTGGCCGGCAGGGAGGGAGGGACGCCAGGGCGGAGCGGCCTGTGGGAGGGAGGCCGGCCCTGCCTTGCCCAAGGCCTGGGCTGCCGGCGGGCAGCCACGCGAGGACTGGACCCCAGCAGGAGGGTGAGCGCGTGGCCTGGCCCGGGGAGCCCTGCACACGCCCGCCGAGCCGAGCCCGCCGCCCCGGCCACGGAGGCCCAGGCAGGAAGGGGCACAGAAGACACAGCCCCTCACGTTGCTCTGGTGGAGGGAGGGGAGTCTAGTTTCTATTTTAATAAGCGTACAGAACATTCTGCGGAGCAGCGCAGATCATCTGGGAGCTTCGCAAACACTGAGTGGAGCTGGAAATGCCGGCGCCGCACTGGGGGGTGGCGGGGAGGGGGATGGCGGCGGGAAGGGCCAGCAGGCCCGACGGGCTTGACCAGCCCCGGAGGCCGGTGACAGGGCCAAACCCTAGGAGCCCGCCAGGCTCGCACCACAGGGTCCCTGGGAGGCCGGCGAGGCTGGGCCCGGGCGACCGAGCTCGCCCCACCACACTCGGCAGCCAGCCGGAGGTCCTTCCGTCTGGAGTGAGGCGGCTCAAGGCCTGTGCCCACACCTGCGGCCTGTGCCCCCGCTTTCCTGCTCCCTGCCCCTGCAGGCCCTCGGCCAGCGCTGGCTCCTGGTTGGAGCTGCCCGGCCCCTCCTCTCGTCTCCCTGCCCCACACGCGGGCGAGGCCCCCGGTGTTTGTCTCTCTCCCGACTCTGTTCACAGCCTCACCCCGGCCACCTCCATCCATGTTGCCACACGTGCTGAGATGCACCCGCCCCATGGCTGAGTAGCATTCCACCGTGGGGTTAGACCTGCTCTTCCCAGACCCCGCCCGGGGCGCCGAGGCCTTGCAACTGGCCGCCACGAACAGGCCTGGCGAACAGCGGGCTCTAGAAGAGCTTGTCTTCTTCGGTGGAGGCCGGCGAGTGGACGGGAAGCTCCTTAAGGCTGACTGGCGCCCCCTCGGCACCCCAAGCTCCCTGTCACTGCCGACACCCCACGTGGCTCCTCCCTGACGGCAGGGCCCCCTGCGGATGCACCCAGCATCCCAACTAGCCCCGACCTGGTTGCCCCAGCATCTCACAGGTGACGGCGTCAGCGAGGGGGTGTGCTAGCTGGACTCTGGTGGGCGAGGGGCTTCCTGAAAGCCTCTGTGGTACGGAACAAAACAACATCCTTAAAGGCTTGCCATGGTGGCAGCTCGCCCCACGTGGCGGGGCATGCGGGGGACTTGTGACTTCCCAGGAGGCACCGTCCTGTGTGTGTGTGGGGGGAGCCACTTCTGTCCACACCACCGCTCTCCCTTTGGGGAGCACCAGTGACGGAGACCCCTGGGGAGGGTACCCATGGCCAAGGCTGGGGGCCAGGCGTGTCCTTGTGTCTCGCCTAGATCAAGCTCGATGCCACAGCCACTGCCAGCCAGAGAGAGGAGCTCAGGGGCACCAGCCACAGCCTGCACAACCTCTCAGAGCCCAGCCCTGTTCTCTGCAAAACCAGCTGGGCTGGGCTGGGCTGGGCAGGCCTCTGCTGCCCGGGTGGTGCTGCGCAGGCCCAGTGTGGTCAGGTGCATCTGCAAACCTTTGAAGGCTCTGATTTTTTTCTTTACACTGAGCTGTGCCAGGTGGGCTGTCCGAGGGGTGATGATGGCCTGGCTGGGGCCGGTGCCAGGGAGCCGGTGGCCTGCTCTTGCGCTGCTGAGCGCGATGGGGAAAGGTGGAGCAGGGCTTAGCATGCTGGTTCCGTCCCCCATCAGCCGCCGCGCCCACGGCTGACCACTGGGCACGGCACCCGGGATGCGCCGGCATCGCCCAGAGCGGGTCTCGCTGCTGGCGGCGGCATTTTATCCCGAGTGTTTGCTGTTTTGACAGCTTATCGGCAGAGCCGCTGGAAGGCGGCAGGAGCCTCGCTGTTCAATTAAGGCTGAAGTGTCAGCAGAGCTTGTGGGGGGACGGACCTGTGTGCCGGCCGCGGAAATCAATGAGCTTTAACAAGCAGCTCAGAGGCCCCTGGAAGCCCAGGCCTGCCCAGTGGGCCCGCCTGCCTCAGGCCCCGTTCCTCATGGCGCGGTCGCCCTCCCTGAGTGAGGCGTCTGCAAAGGCAGGACGGGCGTCCATGGCCCTCTGCCGGGTGAGGTGGGCGGCGCGGACAGGCCCTCGCCCGGGTGCAGCACACACGCTGGCAGGCTGGAGGCCTGGCACGCACAGCCGGAAGAGCAGCATGGGTTTCCATGGAGAAGCAGTGGCGGCGGCAGAAGTCACCATCACTGGGGCATCTCAGGGCGCGTCTGAGCCACTGGCCAGGACCCAGGCCCACGTGGACAGCGCCGTGAGCAGGTGGTTTCCTGTGCACTCAAGTCTGAGCCTGGACAGCAGCACTCGGGCAGCAGAGAGGCCCGCCCAGCCTGGGCCAGCCAATTTGGAAGAGACCCGGCCTGTGCACCCCGCGGCACCAGTCGGGTTCAAGCGCTCGCAGAACCGGATGCATCTTGGAAAGAGCAGGATTGGAACGTTGCAGGTGCACTAGAGGCACAGGCTGGAGTCGGCCTGAAACAGCCTCAGGGGACAGCTGGGGTATGAGAGTCGCTCAGACAGGGCTCGTCGCCTGGGGCGGCTCCCAGAAGCATGGCCTGGTGCTGCCCGCCTGGGTGGCCCGGTTCCCAGCCAAGCCGGCCTGAGCACCCCAGTTCCTTGCCTAGGTCACCCCAGCTTGCCGCACTCCCGCGAGAGTGACTTGGGGCTGAGTGGCGTCCTCAGTCTACTGCTTTGGCTTGCTTCACCCACACCCTACCTGCTGGGCATACGCTCCTGGTACCCGCTTCCAGATGCAGGTGGGAAGTTGCAGCGCCTGCCCGAGGCTGCACAGGCAGCAGCGCTGCAGCCGCCCCTGGGGTCTCCGCCTGTGTCCCCGACGCTGCTGTCACCAGGCTGCCCTCCCCGCACCTCACACCAGGACAGCTTCTGTCTATCCCCCGCCCCGCAGCTGTCTGCCCAGAGATCTGCCTTATTGGCTGTTTTAGAGAGAAACTGAGGCACAGAGCAGCTAGACAACTCGCACGCGCTCACGCGGTTGGGTGAGGCCGGCGGAGCTGAGCTCCGTCTCAGGCCCCTGTGCTGAAGGGCTGCATCGCCACGCACAGCAGCGCTCCTGGATGCGACTTTGTGCTTGTTAGAGGGCCCCGGGGAAGGGGCCACTGGCCCGAGGCAAAGGGAGACCCAGCCCAGGAGCTGCACGTCTCTGCTGTGGAGACGTGGCGTCCGCATGTTTCCAAGCGGAGCCTCCAGCTCAGCCGGCCGTCGCGCCAGGACATACAATTTCTAGATAAACTATTGCTCCTGGAGGGGAAAATGTTGACCCTCACAACATGGCACCAAAACCAACTTAAAAACACCAAATTCTTGCTATTAATCAGACATCCACACGCAGCACCTTGCTTGACTCCCACCCGTGGGCGAGGGGTGCGGCCGTGCTGCAAGCAGGACCGCGGTCCCCGGGGTCACGGAGCCGAGGCGTGTGCCCAGCTGAGACTGGTCACGTGTGGCCCTGGGAAAGAACCTGAAATCAGTTATTGGGGAATTACCTGGTCGGCGCCGGCAGTGGATCGGCTGGGCAGACGCTCGCTGTCCCCTGAACGGAGGTCACCCCGCAACAGCTGACCGGTTTCTTCGCCGAGAATGACCTCTGTGTCCGCGTCCTCGGCCTGTGAAAGCCCTCGCTGTGCACGGCCCCGGCCGCCTGTGGGAGGGAGGGCACCGGCGTCACACGGGAGCAAATAAAGCCGGTGAGAGCTTCAAAATGCGCTCAGTCGAGTGCTCTTTTATTTTATTATTTTTTAAATACGATCCTGTTTCCATCATTTTGGAGGGAGGGAAATGAAGTTCGAGTGAACTGGACAAACAGCTCAAGGGCACTAGGAGAGGACAGAGCAATTTCAAATCTAGATTTATCTCACGCCCAGGTTTAAGCTCCTAATACTGTGTTATTTCTCTCTGACTGACTGGAGAGACAATTCTGCTAAAATTGGCCTTTAATGGGGACACAGAGAAGCAGGTACATTTACCCAGAAAACTTTGGTGAAAGCAGAACGGCGTGTGCGCTGCGGGGAAGCGGCTTCCCTTCCTCTTGGGACAGCGTCCCGCCCCAGCCCCAGCCAGCCCCTGCCCCGAGCCCTCCTGCCCGGGCGCCAGAATCCCCGACTGGAGCGCAGGGCCTGTGGGCCTGCCTCTCCCACGGCTGCAGGCCTGCACTGGCCATGGCTCGTCACGCGCTGCGGAGCCGGCACAGCAGAGCCTCCGCCCCAGGGGGCAAAACGGGCCCCTGGGAGGAAAAGGGCCGGGAGAGGAGGAAAAGGGACACTCCCCCACTCCAGGGCCAGGGGGCAAAACTGAGAAGGCGCGGGGTCAGTGAGTAGCCCAGCAGGCACAAGGGCGCCGGGAGCCGGGGTCGGGCCCCTGGAGCACCCACAGGAAGGGCCTGAGGGAGGCTGAGGAGCCGGCACAGGCACGAGCCCTGCGGGCCTGCAGCCTCGCCCTGAGACCCGAGGGATTCACCGCTGGACAACGCCCAGCCCACAGCAGATGGACCCGGTGTGGTCCTCATGCTGGCCTGGGAGGCCAGGGACACTTGGGCATGGTCCAGGACCAGAGTGACCTGCAGCAGCAACCAGGCAGCCCCTGGCCACCTTACAGCACGGGCATGAGTGGGCAGCACCTTGGTGTCCAGGCGCCACACCACCAGGCCCCGAGGGAGCTGCCACGAGCTCACTCGCTGAGGGGAGGCATCGTCAACCAGGCCCCGCAGACAACGACCAACAGGGCCCACTGCAGCCAGGCCCCTGCAGCCAGCACCGGGGCCCCCGAGCATGGCCAGACAGCACAGTGCTGCACTTGCCTGATAACCCAAGGGCGACGAGACCGCCCTCGCCAGCCTCCATGCGTGCTCTACCCACAGCAGGGCCCTCGTCCAGCAGGCCCACAGCCGGCACACCCAGCCTCGCGTTCCCTGCAGCAGGGCCCCCATCGAGCAACCTCAGCAGTGCCCAGGAGGGCCCGCCCAGCCCCCAGGGCAGATGCTGCCTCACTGCCAGCAGCCCAGTCACCCCGAACACACCTGCGGCCTGACCAGCTGGCGGAGGGCCACCCTTGTGCAGCAAGCACCTACTGACCCCGTGGGCTGCCGCCCAGCCAGCACCACGGTGGCCGTGGGCGCAGGGGGCACAGCCTACAGGAGCCCCAGCCAGCACACACCGGGGGCCCGCGGCCCCACCCACTGTGCACGCCTAGGCCAGGGCTGAGGCCACGCCCAGCCCAGCAGCGCCCGGGCAGGGTCTGCAGCCGCCCACAGAGCTCCCGACACGGAAGGTGGGTGCAGCCCCAGGGACGGCGCGAGAAACCGGGGCGGGGGGGGGGGGGGGGGGAATGGGGCTCCAGACGCCAGGGCCCAGCTGCGGACTCGAGCCCTCAGTGCCAGAACGGGCGGGGTTTCCCGAACACAGAAGCACACAGCGGGCCGGGGAAAGCGGGCAAGCTCGCCGATCTCTGCCAAGAAAAAACGGAAGAAATGAAGAAAACTACCCGAGAAAGCAAAATCAGGGCTCGCTGATCTCAGGAGAAGGACGAGCAAGCAAGAAAAATCACGGTACATCCCAAAGCGGCCACCAGCTGCCGCGGCAGTGACAGAACTAAAGGGAAGGGGCTCAGTAAAAGAGGGAGCGCCACCAGCAGCGAGAGAGGCGGGGACGGTGAGCGCGAAGGCAAAGCTGACACACAGGAGGGGAACTGAACAAAACGGACATGGCCTGTGCGGTCTCCGACTGCACTAAGAGGAACAGCCTTGCGTCGTGGGGGTCTCAGAAGAGAAAGGGCCAGAAAAGTGTTTCAAGAAATAATCACCCAAAACTTCCCTAATTCGCAGAAGGAAGCAGAGCCCCAGGGCAGGAGGCCCAACGGATCGAACAAGAGGACTCAGAGACCCACGTCCAGGCACGCTGTTGTTAAAATGGCAAATATTAAAGACAGAGGGTCTTGGCGGCCCCCACAGGCCCCCCACGCGAGAGGGAAACGTGATGAGGCTGCCGACACGCCTCGTCAGAAAGCTCGCGGGTCGGAAGGGAGTGGCAGGACAGAAACCTTCAGCCAGGAACTCTGCGCTCAGCAAGGCTGTCGCTCAGGCCTGAAGGAGGATCAAGCACCTTCCAGGCAAGCAAAGGATAAAGGAGCTCATCGTCCCTAAGCCGCCACGGCGAGAGACACTAACAGGATGCCTCCAAATTGAAAAGAACGCACGATAAATAAAAGCGAGAAATCACATGACAGAAAAACCTCACTTTCAAAGATACACTCAGGAGAGCTGCGGGCCTCTTAGAGCAGAGTCTTGTTCAAAAAACAAGAGCAGCGCGTGAGGTGAACTGAAGTTACAGCAATTAGCCCCGGGGGTTACATAACATAAAGATGCAACCTGAACCGTCAGAAATAGAAACCCTGGCGAGTGAAAACGCACACTTTCGGTAAGTTTGCAAAAATAAGTAGTTCTCAATTCACTGCAAATCAGTACATAAGCTCTTAGATCTACACACCACCGTAGATGCGCACCTGTTGTGAAAAATAAATTAACTCTACCCCTCGAGGCAGGGCAGAGGCCCACACGTTGCTACCATCTACCTCTGGCCTAGGATGATTTCCAAGACTCAGGATAAAGGGAAGGCAAATCTGTCCAGAGAAAACTCAATAAAACCAGGTTCAAATGAGAACCATGTGTTGGGACTCTCAAGAAATAGAAAATAATTATGATTAATAGGTTAAAAGTTCTAGTGGGGACATTGGACAATAAACATGATCACACGAAGAATTTCAGCAGAGATGAGAACCATGAGAATTAATGAAACGTCCAGGAATAACTAACATGTCCCAGAGAAAAGCAGTGTCGTCATGCTTGTCATGGATCAGCTTGGGTAAGAAAATAATAAACAAACTTGAAGATAAATCCATAATTAAACTGAAACACAAAGAGAAATAAGAGTGGAATCAAAAGTATCAAGCATTCAGTCACTGTGCAAAAATATGAAACTGCCTAGCACGCATGTAGCTGGGATTCCAGGAGGAGGATGAAGCAGAAAGGGATGGGAGAGAGACACACAGACGCGGGGCCAGGGACGAGGCGCAGCAGGCCTCAGAGACACCAAACAGATGAAAGAGCAAAACAAAAACACAAACATACATTCCTAACCAGACATATTGTATTCAAATTACTGCAAACCGAAGATGAAGAGAAGATCTTGGAAGCTAACAACAGACATTCTATTTAAATGAGCAAAAATAAAAGTGAGAAAGAACATGCTTTTCACGAGCAGCTGTGTCAGCCTTAGACGGGGCGTGCTGGCTTGGGAGGGCTGACGTGGCGGAGGTGGGTGGGCACCTCCCCCTGGTGCTCGGCAGGCACTCCGCCAGGCAGGGGCGACTGACAGGCGTCAGCTCCAGCGGGGCTGCGGAGCCGCCTGTCTCTCAGGCGTCATGTCTAATGTCTCCAACGTGAACGAGCCAGGCCGATGAGTGATCACACAAGACGACAATTTCTGAGCACGCTTTATGTACTAAGTGCTTGGATAGTGTTTTCGTAAGTATGATCTCATCACTCAGTGTTACTGACACAAAGATTGTTAGAATTTAGAGGAATATTTGTTCACTGAGGAAGAGAAATTCAAGAACTCTGCCTGGGTTTCGTGGTCAGAGAACCTGGCTTTTGCTATCCCTGCGTTAAAGCTCACTATTGAGAGCGGTTCATTGTCAAGGAGGTGTTCTCAGCACTGTGCTTGACGTCACTCAGTTTTGTTGTCTTAGATGTTAAATAAAAAGAGTTGAGTTCCCACCTATACACCCTGGAGGATTCAGGCGCTTTTCACATCGTGACCCATGAAAACACACGCCAGGACTAACTGCTGAATGAAGGCTCTGGGCGCAGAACCCGCTCTGGGCCACATGAGTTAATTTCACTAGCACAGGACTGGGAATCTGCATTTTAAAGAAGTCCTGGAGGAGACTTTGTCTACACTGAGGTTTGAGAACCGCTGTAATAATACCCCTGCCACTCGGGGAAACTTCATTTGGTTCAAAACAAAGGGGGCCGAGGGGACAGTGGGCCTAGAAGACCCACTAACCGTCACCAAGCGCTTCTCAGGACGGCTTCCAAACGACCACAGTGCTCCTCTATGTTATCATGGGTAACTTTTTTTAAATTGAATTCCATAAACGCCAGAGCTCGCCTCTGAGAGTTCTCTGTGAGTGAGCCACTGAGGAAAGAAACGAGCCCTGTGAATAGGCACGCGGAGCTCCGCGCTCCTCCGCCTGCGCCCCATGGCCATGCCCCAGCAAGCTGGTCTTCGCATCCACACTGCTCGATGGAAAGCAAGATAATAGAAATGCTTCCCTCCTCCAATTCAAACACATCTGCCTTGATTTTTACGGTGTGCTTCAGTTACAAGCATTAACCTAGGACTATTTATTGATTCCAGCGAGCTGCAGCTGACAATTTGGTTTCCTCTGTGGATGAGGAATTGCATCTCAGCAGGTAACTGCCTTGTGTTTTGCAAAAGAAGAAAACATAAAATAATTATGAAGACAGGAAACTGCATGTATTCATTATTTTTGTAATTAGCAACACTATGTGCTCAGAATTCTGAATTTTTGAGAAGGCCACATTCCTTATTGCTGCAGTTAATAAAGGTACTTCACGGACCATTC